CCGATCCACCCCAACCGACACCTAGCGGATAATCGATATTGCCCAGCTGTGTAACGTGGTCCACTCTGGAACACCCCCCCCCCCTCCTCCCCTACCTTCTCTCTCTCTCTCTCTCTCTCTCTCTCTCTCTCTCTCTCTCTCTCTCTCTGGGAATGAGGCTTCGCAAGCGGTAAGAGCGTCTAGCTGCGACGCGATGAAGGGTCCCCTCCGGTCCCCCATTGCAGAGGGAGATCCCTAAGGCCCTCTTTGTTGCTGAAACGCCCCCGCGCCCTTGTCGCCGCTGAGAAAGGATTGTCGCAGGACACTCTGCGTGAGACTTTTAGTGTCCTGCGCCGTGCCGAACAATCATAACTGCGAGGTAACCCTGGTACGAGTGGGGTGACCCCCGGGTGACCACGACCACTCTACCCACTCCCAAGCCGGCTCAGTGACAGTCCCAAAATTGTAGTGTGAAAACAAAAAGGAAATTAAAAAAAGAAAGAAAACTAGTGAGAGGTGTGTGAAAAAGACGGGTGTCTAATGCGCATGTGTGGGTGAGACGTCCGTACGTGCAGTGCGCACGCGCTGCCACGCACGCACCGCGACCCTGACCGCCGGACGGTGTCTGGGACAGTGTGTCGTGCGAACATGGGCCGGGCCGGGCCTGCGCCGGCACCGGGGGGATCCGCATCGGGATCGGGAACCAAGGCGCATTTCTTCCCGAAACCTTGTAAATTTTGTTATTTTAGTAGATGATGCGTTAAGTAATACCAAAACTAGAAAAGTGTACTGAAATAAAATAAACTCAATAGTTTAATGTGCCAGCAGCGTATGTTCTCGCAGAAGAATATAGGGTGGTCGGACTGTCGGTGAACTGTCCTTTGTTTTTGTTTTATGATTTCAGGGTAATGGGGGGAGGAGGAAGGCGGTACCAGACAGTGGGCCACGATGTCATTGGTGTCATTCAAATGTGAGTATTGTTAGCATAACAATTGTGCTTAAAGGTCACTCCAGACATACTGCACGTTTATTTTCCTATACCCACTCACTCGTACTCACTGCCCCTGTCCCAAAATACAAAAGCCTTTTTCAGAATGAAGAAAATTTCCTGAACCACCAATTCAAAGTTATTGCGTCGAACAAACGTTGTGCCCCGTCGAGTTGTCCAGCCCAGCCTGGTTCAGCAGACGGCGAGCGGAGTCCACCGGTCGCTTGCCCCCCACCCCGCCCCATGGGTTTTGTCGAATGGGCTGCCTACTGTCCCGGCGGACAGGCCAGAGAAGTACCAGGGCAAGGAAGGAACCACGGCAGGCAAATGCAGGGAATGACCACTCTACACCGTCACAAGTGAAAAATGCTCGATTGTTGCAAATCGGTATCAAATTTTCCTGAGCATTTTCCGTATACATGACACTGCAGTATAAATAAGAGTACACCCATAAGAAACGTATAATGTTTGAAGTAATTTTTTCCTTGATTCAAGATCAACTTTACTTTTAAAACAAACTGATATTTTCTTTCAAATAAGAGAAAAATCTTATTTCAAAGACAGTATTGCCTTGTTTCAATGGCGAATTTCATCTTGTGTCAGCTTGCACTTGAATCATAAACCAGCGGTCCGTAACCGCCGTAACCCGATTTAAATTCACTCTAAAGCTTGAGGGCCTTTTTTTAAATAACAAATTGGTTGATGAAGACATGCATTTTTGTGCACGTTCACATCTTGACTAAACGCAATTTTACATGTTGCAAATGTAGAGTTTACGTCTGTCTCTTGGGCAAAAATTGATCCAACGAGAGGATGCCAATACCTCACACCAAATCTCACAAAATTTAGGATCTTGACAAAAATGCATCTTTTCCGGGCAATGGAAGTTATCCCGTCAGATGTAGTGTGTGGTTTTAATGCGTGTAAAGAAAGGTTATTTTAATTAACTCTCACTCGAAAGTGTTTTTGAAATGTAAATGCCAAGCTTAGTCAAGAGGGGGTGGGGGGGATCGAAAAGCGTCCAAACTGTGTCAACTAATAAGGGGGTTTCAGGCCGCGACACCCGACCTCCCACAATGCAGGCTGCAGCCTCATCTCCAGCCGGGCCCCGCCTGTCAGAGGACATCATGGAGGACGTCTTGAGAGCCGTGAGACCGAGCTTGCTACCACATGCTACGCCGCGCGAGGCAACGGCGGCCGAGGTGGCGGTCTGGTGGACGGGCTGGGTCGGCTGGCCACCCACTCGTTAGCCACATGATGAGGTCATCTTAAGTAACATTTTCCCCTCTCAAATCCATGTCTTTCTGGTTGAAATTTTCATACAGTCCCCAAGACTAGCTCTATCGGAGGCAGGGAGGGCCAAGTGCCCCCCCCCCCCCCCCCACTCGCCATCTCCTATACAGCCACAGGGCGCTCTGTTTTTTTAATGTAAAACTTTTGTATGCTAAGCCCCTGGCGGTTACATAGGCTACACTACTGGCTACACCATAAGCACCTCGCATCTTTCGCACCTCGTCCAACATCCTGGCTAAGGGGCCGTTCACAAATTACGTCACACTTTTTAGGTGGGGTGGGCACTATGGGGAAATGTGTTGTCACAGAGGGGGGGGGGGGGATGAGGCAAAATTGTGACTTACTGAGACAATGTGGGCCGTGGGGTCTATATATGGTCCAAAAAAGCGTGACGTAATTTGTGAACGGCTCTGCAAGCCAAACTGGCGCCTGGCTAGGCTACCCTCATGCTACCCTGGCTACGCCACTGGCAGCTACATTGGCTACACCATGGCTACCTATCGCACCTCATCTAACAGCCTGAAGATATCCAGTTAGCGTTCTTTTGGATGGGGTGTTCGGGCGTTGGGCGTTTGTGTGAAGCGTTGAGCGTTTTTGGAAAGCGTTCAGGCGTTTTTGATGTATGTTACGACGCTGCCGGCTGGCTGCTACGCCACTGATAGACACCTACGAGGTGGGGGCCGCGGCGCGTGCTCGAGCTCCGAGTTTGGCCATTTCCCATTCCTATCGGCCCGGCCCTGGTCTGTTGGGACAGCCGCAGCCACACCTCCGGACAGCCTCATCCGACTTATAAGGCGGCATCTGCCTTGCGCTACGCTACACTCTTAAGACACGCTTCGGCGTCATGCACCTTCGATCGCATGGCATGTCGATCAAAGCAATTACATTGATTGATCAGCAGCCTTTTAGAAGGCGACTGGCGACTTCACATGCGAGGCCTAGTCACGTGGGCTGGCCGACCCCGGCACCCCCTGCACTCCCTGGCACTCACCCATTATGCACCCATTCCCCTCTCTCTCCCTCCTTCCTCAGATTCACATCGGTATCAAAATTATACATTACTTTATGAAATGCTCCAGTTAATCAGCATCCAGGATAAACGCAAGATGGGGCCCCGTGACCTTGGGATGGGGGAGGGGGAGGCACCGCACCACTCTCCACTCACCGGTCGGCATCGGAGCCCAGGCTTCGGGCCAAGTAGTGATCAGGTGACTGCTCAGCTAGACTTTTCTTTTCTTTGGAAAACGGCATTCATTAAGATTGTGCAAAAGCTTATCTCTTCGTCTTCCTCCTTAAGACAAATCAATTCAATTTTTATTTTTCTGCATTCGAGCGTGTGATGTATCAAAACACCAGAAATAAAAGTGAATTGAATGTGTTCGACCAGGGGGTCAATAGCCATTTGCCCTCGTAAACTGGAACGCACCCGTAAGCTCAGTGAGCCAGACAGGGCGTTGCGGGACAGATTTGTTAAGCAAAATATTCTAACCACTTTCTTAGAAAAATGGCGTTATCGGGGTGCTATGCCCTGTTGAAGTACCTGGTGGTCATCATCAATTTCATATTCTTCGTAAGTGTTCATGATGCTCTCGTAATCATGATGGGAGGCCCCTCAGTCATTTGATGTATGGTGCAGTTTTTGCGTGGGCGGCCAGGCAGACGAGCCTGCATCAAATTTCAAGTGTTTGTCACATAATGTGTCTGACAAGTACTTTTTCTGTGACGGGGATTTATTTTTTGTTAGGCAGCAAACCTTTTAATCAGTACTAGTGATGTGTTATGTTGATTCGAAGTGGAAGTCAACTTATATCATGAGAACCATGGGTCTGCCACTTCAAAGTATAACTAGTTACATTGTCCAAAGTTACACAGAGCTCTGATAAAATGAGGCAATGCAACTTTAGCTCCGTGATATTTTTCTATTATTTTGAATTCTTTGAATGCTTTGAAAAGTATTTTAACTTTCAATTTCATAGTTGAGTTGGCTGAAATGTTTTGTTATGAATCTCTTTTTCCACATGTATTACTTTACATTTGTGAATGAGAAGATTTTCATTCTTTGTCTCTTATTGTCAGAGTGAAATCTTATTTTAACTCCCCCCACATTTCAACTGAAAACTTATTCCTTCCCAATCCCATAAATTGTTGTATAATATGTTATTACTTCCAGCTGGCTGGTATTGGTGTGGTGACTGCTGGAATATACTTGCTGACGGATTCGACAATGTATGTGCAAGTGGTGCAGGATGATGCTAATTTCCACACTGGTATCTACATCTTGATAGCAGCTGGTATACTTATGTTCATCATTGGATTCCTTGGATGTTGTGGCGCATTGCGGGAGTCTCCATGCATGCTTGTTACAGTAAGTTTACCTCTAAACAATTTATAACACATACCCTAAAATTGCCCCTATGAATGGAATATTTATCTTAAATGCAAACATTAATCTTGTCTGAATTGTATTTCAGTTCTTTTCATTTTTGCTGGTGATTTTGGTCGTTGAAGTTGCTGCTGGTTGTTGGGTATATTTCAACAGAGCTGAGTTGGAGAAAATGCTCCAGGAACATGTAAAACGCACAGTTGAAAAGGATTACAGTACTAACGAGTATCTCACCAAGACTTTTGACACTATTCAGAGTAATGTAAGACAGTTTCCCTGATGTTGATGACTCATTCAAATCTGTTTAACACTAAATCTTTAGTAACTTCAAAATCCTAACTAATCATTTTCAGCTTGGCTGTTGCGGCGCGAATGGCCCACGAGATTGGAGTTCATCACGGTTTAATCAGGTTAACAAGAAAAGTGACAAAGGGATGGACTTGGCCATTTCTTCGTCTCTACAGACCTATAAACTGCCTCTCTCGTGCTGTTCCACTCCCAAAAGTCCTCAAATATGTGATGATGGATCCCGAATCGGCCTGTCAGCAAATATTCCTGTTGTCATGTACCAAGATGTGAGTAGTATATTCCTGGTATCTTTGAACCATGTTGTTATATCTCCTGAGTTGTGTGTAACATTCATTTCTTCTATTTCAGGGTTGTATTGAGAAGCTGAAAGATGTCCTAAAGGATCATATGGTAATTGGTTGGGCTCTTCTGATAACCATTGCTGTCCTGGAACTCTTTGGGCTTATCTTCTCACTTGTTCTTTGCTGTGCTGTGCGCTCTTCAACAGATCACTACAAGTCATAAACATTTTTGCCTGTATCCATATGGTTTATTTTGAGAATTATTTTATTTACTGTTTTTTCCTCTTTGATCTGATGTTTCTCTGTGCTTTTCAGAGAGTATTTGTGTCAAATCTTTTATAATTGATTGTGAAACCATTAACTTGGCATTTCAATTATTGTCCAGATAATTTTTGCTGTGGAATGGTCCATCCAAATTGGTATGAGAGGATGTGTGTGGAATAGTAGTTTTTATGAGAGGTTTGTTTCTCAAGTAAGGTATATGGAATGGTGGTTACCAATGTTGAGTTGGGTGATTCTTGCCCAATGCTATGGTTTTGAAGCATTTTATTATTGTAAACCTTTGTAAAGTAAGTCTTATTTGAGATACTTTGTTGTTGTTTTTTGTGTGTTTTTCTGCTAATTTACTACATACTTTACTGCAGTCTGTAGTGAAAATAACAATTTAGGTAAAGTGAGTTGAAGTAACCAGTGGTATTATTAATCAAGGAGCTTTTTGAAGAGTAGTGTTACCTCACTTGTTTATGTGAATGAACTATTAATGCCTGTAATTTATGTAGTTATTAAGAGCTACATAAAAATCCTAACAGTCAAGCAAAGACATTCTTCATGCATTGAGGGAGCTGATTGTGATGGGAATTTAAGGTTTGCATTAAAGTGCATGGTATTTTTGCCAATTCTGACTAAAATGTGCCATTATAGTTCATATTTATGGAGAAAACTGATTTCTGTTCACTTATTAATAAGATCTCAAAACTTGAATAATAGGTCCGCTTCTAAAATGTATGATGTATTAAGAGATCTGTGCAGACCTAAGACATTCTTCGCTGGCATAAGAAATTCATGTTGTAGACATTATTTCATCCCTAAGACTAGACTTCTCAACAAAAATTTTGAGGTATTGATAGGATTGTTGTTATTCTTTCTCCTTCAGTTACGTACAAATTACCATTTTTAATGGCACTAGTCTTCACCTGTACTTTATGTTAATTGTACCTTTTCTGCAATATAGGAAATAGCTCTGTGAATGTTATGAGTTCGAGGCTGCTGAAATTAATACATTGTTGTGGCAAATCAGGCTCTTGCAATTTTACTTTGAAGAGTCAAATTTTTGCCCTTCAATGTTTGTGCACAATTTCTGGTGTTTCCAAAGAAAGCCATTTTCTTGTACAGTATTTGACATGTTTCTATCTTGTAACCTGTACTCCTCTGTATAGCAGAATTTGTTATCTCTTACAGAGTTTAAGTCATAGAGTTTATTATATAACTGTTTAGATGTCATAACAATAACTATTTATATTTTTTGTCTTCACTCATTATTATATTGACTCTCTTCATTTGGAGACAAGTTCGGTCTCCTAAAATTTTCTCAAATTCTGTTGAAAATACTCTCGAAGCAGTTTTTGCATCGTTCTTCTCATCAAAAACAGCTGGATGCTCATACAGTTTTCATTTGACCACTGCAAGACCTGTAGAGATTTTTACACTCCTACAGCATCAATAATCAGTTTTCTGATTGTGTCAGTGTTATGGATCTGAAGACCCATATTCTTACTTCTAGTGTAATTGTCTTGCCCTGGCCAAATGATCAGTGTCTTTTAAATCTTGTACAATTGTATTTGCCATAGATATAGGAAATAATTATAATAAATGTTTGTAAAGTTGTAACGATAGTTGAGACTAGTCTTAAGCACTTAATCCAAAGCGCTGTACATTGGAATATTATTTATTTTTACTTCATTCTGGGTTTTATCCAAGAGAAAATATATTTATATTGTAAATTGGATGTGTATCCAAGTTACACATATTCAGTCTTTACAATTGTGGCTTGTGATGTATTGAAGTGTTTCATTGGGGGTGATGTAACTCGTAACTCACAACAGTGAACTCCAATAAGAAACTTAACTATACTTGGGATTTGAGATTGCTGTTGGTTTCTGCATGATGCCTGGAAGTAGGTCATTGATTTGAAGAAAGGTAAATTGTGTTCCAATTATTGTAGGCAAATGTTGTCCCCTACCCACCTAATTTCCTCTTCACCTTTTCTGTGTGCCATGTATTTAACTTATATTGTATGTATGTATGTGCCTCTAGTGTTTGCACAACATGTTGTAGATTGTGACATGCATAAGCATATATTTTCATAGAGTTTTGCATAGAGGATTCTTTATTTCTTATTTTAGTCTGTCACTTTTCAAGCACCATACCAAGAATTCTTTGTGGATTACTTTTAACCCTGTTGTGCATCCCTTGCTTGTCCCACATATTTACTACAATGTTAGAAGTTTTAACGGTTTGTCATCATAACAGCTATTGCACCTGTTAAAGGTTTGCACAATGTTGGCATCAGATGTCAGATGTTAAGAACTCATATGTGTATTGCTCATTTATTATTCAAAATTGTGAGTGTTCAAATCTAACCAAGAGAAAGTACCCAGTGAGAACACAAAGTCAAAATTGTGTCTTTTAATCTGACTTCTAAATCCCTACCGGAAAGAACTATATTTTGACTTAAAAGGTCAAAATGACACCTCTTGCCGTCATTTTGACTTGGGTTGTTCTTGAGTAGCGAAGTGTAGACAATGTGAGAATAGAAACTTCTAATTTCACCGTAACACCTATCCAATTTTGAACTAAAGTTGTACGCGCAATTCTCATATGCATTTGCTCTAATCAGATCTACTCAGTTAGTGGAGTTGTTTATTTTTTATTTCCAGTGAGTACCTATCTTAAATGAGTTTTGTATGTGTACAATCTGAAAGTCAATCATGGTAGGGTCCATTCCATATTTTCTGGCAGAGCGGCAAGCAAAAGCTTTTGAGACAATATCATCCATGAATGTCCATTTCATCAGAATGTAACTTGATAGTAGGGAGTGTTCAAATGCATTATAAAGGTTGTCCTGCCGACGTAAAGTGTCCACCCAACCTGCCTTGGGCCTTCTCCAAGACAATGCTCACCACCTAGGCACGGAGATAGGGCCACTCTTAACTTTCGGGTACCGTCCCCTCGACCGAGGTGTTTAAAATGAGCCTATCTAAGTCGACCAGAAAGCAAAGACTAGCTGCTCTGCCAGAAAATTGGGGATGCTATTTCCTCAACACTTTCAGTGCCAAGGGACTCGACCGCACATTACTATTTCTGGGTGTCACTTGGACTTCCCTGGCATGGAAAGCTTTGAACTACATGCAAGCTTGAGTGTTGTTAACTTTGAATATTTTTCAGTATTTAGCATACTTTGGCACAAAAAAATACATGATTGTTGCATAGAACATACCTTCATTTGAATTTGATAGAGAGGAAGATGTCTGAAAAATGTCCACCATTGGCAATTTTTTTTATCAGCACAAAGTTGGGTATGGATTTCTTTCCAAGGAAAGTAAGCAATTTTTATTTTTTAATTTTTTTGATGCATTAATCCAATGCGCCACTATTTAACCTATTATTTGTAATCATTTTTGTACGTTTTCTCAATTATTTTTTTTTAATTTATATATATATATTCCTCTGTGCAGTTTATTTCTTTAAATAGGGAGAATAGAAAGATATGAGCTGCTGCCTCATAAAAGCTGTGTGTTAATTGTATCAGGCCAAGAATATGCATTTATGGGGACATAATACGTATCTGAGCCAGAAACCTTGGGAATCTGTGTCACTACTCTTCCCATATGGACTGTCAGAAAACTGTCTAAGAGGTAGGTAGTTTGAATGAATCTGGCAGAAAACCTAAATCCAGTCAAAACTACAATTGTAAACGGCCTAATTTTTGGTGAGGCAAAAATAAATCAAACTTCTCAAGTATTTTCTGTCTTATGTCTGGTGTTGGAATGTGAGAATGCTCATTGGTACAGACTGTTTGTGTTACAGTAATAGACTGAGAAGGTTGTTAAACTTAAGTCATGTCTCTTAATATTGCCATGATATTGCTCTTCCAATAAACTTGCTGCCAAGAACGTGACAAATCTGTTGTATTCAAATGCCATTCAAACTATATGCATTTAGCTGTGAAGCAGAAAATGTTAGTACACTTATTATTACTACTGTATTTGTTTGTAAGGTTTGAACTTAAAAAATTTATCCCTGTTATGGAAATAGCCTTGTTCTACAAGATAGTGATGCAATTCCTGGTTCCTTATTTAATTCTTGATCATTAAAACATGGTTTTCTGTTTTTATTATATATTAAAGACAAATGTTTGCACTTTAGAATTGTGGATAAATTGAATCTCATAATTTCTAGTTTTGTCTTGATTCCTATATGTACTTAACATAGCTTGCTGAAATAAAGTCTGTTTAACACAAAACAATTTGAATACAAACATTTTTTTTTTTTTACATCTTTTTTGAATTCTAGATACAGTATACTGTACTATAATTGAAGTTTTACCATACACTTGCTTTTCCCCTAAAGTGAACAAGTGTGGAGTATACTAAATCAAAGGCAGGGATCTTGCTCAACCCCATGGTTTTCAAATGAAGTTTTAAAGTTGGATCCTAATTTCTGAATATCACTCTCTTTCAGAAGACCACGCGGCATAAACCCAAGAAGATTTTCAGCATGTTGCTGAAGAATATTTATGCGCTCTTCTTCTATTATTTGTTCTCTGAAAACAACAAAGTTAATAATTAATTTAGATACATGATTTTAAAAACACATTAGTGAAATAATGATCATTTAGCCATCTAATTTTACCTTGCTTTTTCCTCTTCCAACTGAGCTTCATGATCTCGCATGATTTGTTCAAGTTCAAGGTTCCTCCTCACTCTACGCTCCTTGAGGAGCCTCTCAACAGCTTGCCTATGTTCCTGAATCTTGATACGCCGCCTCTCTGCAGTTAGTTGGTCAAGACGATCTTGAGTGGCCTTCTGCTCCATCATCTACATCATAAGTAACCATAGCAAGGACAAAACATATTGCAAGGTAATTAACTAAAAGACAGATATATTTAAGTGAAGTGAAATTTTTCTGCATGTACCTCTTGACGCATTTGCTGTTCTCTTTGACCTTCTCTTTGCAGCTGTAAAACTCTTTCTTTTTGCTGGTGGGCCATTGCAAGGCGCAAATCAATACGCTTTTGAACTGCAACCACAAGTTCTTGACGAATTCGAGCCTCTTGGGCTTCCCGAAGTTCTTCTTCTGCCAGCTCTTGAAATACTTGACGTTTTTCCATATCCTGCATCTAAAAGAAACACACAAGAGGCCAAGTTTCAATTCAAACTTTCCTAAAAGTGTGCAAGGAGTAATGTTAAGCTATTTCTGCACTCATCTCAGTTTGCTTACTTGTTCATCATAAAGTTTTCTTGCAAGAAAATCATTAATTTGAGCTTTTGCTTCCCACTTTCTTTGAACTTCTTGTTGTAGTTTTAGCTCTCTTTGAGTCTGCATTTCTACAAATGCTTGAATGCGCTTGTTTTCTTCCTCTTGCTGGAGCTTTTGCTTCTCTTTCCATTCCTCTCGAGCAACAATGAAGTTTTCAATATCTTTTTGACAAGCTTTCTGACGTTGCATTCTAGCAATAGAGTTCCTATAGAAAAACGCAATGTAAAATAGCAAACAAATAGTGCGCAGTTATCTTCCACTCAAGGGAAATGGAATCCAGAAGTTCATGTTTACCTGCGATCTTCTTCAATGAGCTCTTGTACAGCTGCATCCAACATAAGTTTCTCCTGGACAAAAGTACGGTATGCATCAATTTTGCGCTGTTGTTTTTGCACAATTTGTTCTTGTTGTGCTAATCGCAAGGCATACTTTTGTCGGAGATTTTCCTCTTTGGTTTTCCTATCTTCATCTTCCTGCTCCTTCCATGCCACCATTTGGGCCTCCAGATGTGCCTTTTCTCTAATCTGAAAAGTCACATTTCATTTGACAAAAGTTGGCAACAAAGCTATATATACACATATAGGTTTTAAACATTTGATACTCCTTTGAAATACAGTTTGACAAAGAAGTAAATTTTTAAGATAGGTGGTACCTCTTCTCTGATTTGTTTAAGCTGCTTTTCTTTCATTTGGGCATGAACTCCTTTTCCTACGTAACATGCTCTCAGTTGAGTTTCTAGATCACGAATTTCTTGGGTACCAAGCCGTAATTGGTTTCTGTAAAATGCAAATGATTTTATCACTAAATATGGATCATGACAAATTTGATACCTCCAACATAATAACATGATACCATCTCAGTCACCTCAACTTTTCTCTCCGAAGAAATTCATCAGCCCTTAATTTCTCAGTGTCTTTATTATGTTGTTCTACTGATTTTTTTTCAGACCACTTATCTTTTAGCTCTTTATCCTAAAAATTATAGAAACGTTTCTCTTTAGTAATAAAACTTAAGACAGACCTAGAACTTATTCCAAATCTAAATGAGACAGTATATGTTAAAGTACGACTGAAGACAATGAAATTTACTTGAAATGTGTTCCTTTCAAGTGTTTCTTGATGTTTTTCTAACTGTAAACGCCTTGAGAGACGAGTGTCATCTCCTTTCTGAAGAATATCGGCCAATAATTTTTCACGGAGAGCAGTATATTGTGAACGTTTATGTTCCTGAAGTTGATCCTCCTCTTCGTTGACAATCTAATAAAATATAATGCAGGATTAAAATTAAAATAAACATGAATAAACAAATGTTCGAATGAAAATGAAAGTGCAGTATCCTACCATTGTAATAATTTGTTTGTTTAAGTGTTGCGTGAAAAATGTTTCACACGAGTACTTGAAAAATATTAGAATATCTGGTAAAAATACTAGGTTAAAAATAATAGAAAAGATAGTAAAAGTGATGAGTGATGAATGCAAAACGAAAAGATAGCAAAAGATAGTTGACTGTGAAAAGTGACTGTGAACCAAAGTCAAAACTGTATTCTGAATCCTTCATTTGCAAGGATCTACGTCCATGTCCTCATATTTCAGAAAATCAAAATTGTTTAAACTAATCTGCTGAGATAATTTGGCATATGTGGATGCTGGTGGTTACGTATGATCCAGGGTGGTGCAGACGACATTTGAAAGATTGCGGTTGGTTAGAGGTCCGTTGCCATGCCAACGCACAGGACCACAAGAAGAAATGAGTAAGAAGAAAACCTATGGTGTGAGGTTTTCTTCTGCGTTCAAGATTTGAGCAAACTCCCTTGAAAATGTGAGATTTATCTCGTGAAGATTCGAAAATGCTTGCTTGTAATGAGAGCCGAGATAATATGTCTTTCCGTAGGTCAAGTGGAGACAAAGTAGTCTTCAAAAACGTTCAAAAGCGTTACAAGTTTCCTGATATAGTTACCGTCGAGTACATTCTGTCTCCAAAGGTGAAAAATTTTCTATAATAATTATTTTTTTTATTTTCTAACTAAAATTGGATGTAGTTCTGTTTGTACAATCACACTCAACTTATTTACTTTTGGTCTACTGTATCTTATGAGGTTAGGTATGACATCTTAATCATATTTTTGCTTGCTGAGATGTATGGGTTTTTTTCTTTTAGCACCTGTTTCTTCATTATAAGAAAAAAAAACTGTTTCATCTCACGTATGAGTGTCACTTATGCATTACTGTTCAATTCATTACAGATCAAAACATCCACTCATGACTATGTTGGAATTTATCCTCGTAATTGGAAAGATTTAAGGGAGTTTGTTGGGTTTGAACATCCGATTCCTGCCCCTTTTGAAGAGCCCAATTTATATCGATGCCTTCAGTTTTCTTGTCAGCCATCTCATGTGAAAGCAGTTCTTCATCAGGATTACCAGTTTGTTTATGTTGACCAGTCACAAGAGGTAAGATTCATCCATTTCTATGAGTTTAGACAACACTGAAATCAAAAGAAAATGCTCATATTTTTCAAAATGTCTGTATCACCTACTGTTGATTGTAGATCCTTGGCAAGAGTGAATTTTTTCAATTTGTTGAAGAGATTGATAATTCTTACACCAGTGCGCAAGAGAATCATGACTGGTACAATACTGATTCTTGCTGGCAAGAAGATAACATTACCACTCAAACGCTAGAAAATGCTGATATTAAACTCACACCATACGAAATTGCATACAATAAGTGTTTTTTCCGCAGCCAAAACAATGGCACAAACTACAGCAAATTTCTAGGAACTGCAGAATTAGCTTGCGGAAGTTCAGATGAAACATGTAGTGCATATTTTGCAACACCGGAAACATCTCAAAGTTATTTGATGTCAGCACAACAAAAAGGAGTTCTAAAAGAAAATTTCAAGTTGAATGTTAGTAAACCTTTTTTGCTTTTAATGGACTGAAAAGTTTAATCAGCTGTCAAAATCATACCTCCCTTTATACTCCAGGAACAGAAGAGGGGGCGTGCGCTCATTAAAACAAGAGATGATGCTTATGTAGATTGCAGAGGGAATGGACCTGGGCCTGAAGTAGTGTCAAGAAATTTTGTTCCATACATGAAAGATCAAGGTATAAACACAGGTCCAGATCTTACCTACTCTCAAAATTGGCTGCAATCAAAGAAATCTACAGACAAAGTGAGGGCAAGGCCTATATTTCAGCTCCACCTTACTCAGTATATCTGTCACTGTTCGTTTTTTTTAACTTATTTCTTTCTTGATCATCTTTAGCCAATCTCCTCTAGTAATAGAAGTGATATCAACCGTGGTGCAGTTCCTAAAAAGTGTTCTAAGTGTCATGCTCCTTCTGACTATAAGTATCGCCAGGAGCTCAGTCATCATGAGGTAAATTTACATCATCAACTTTATTCCGTGAAATGACGTAATCTTTGATTTTTATTTTTTTTTACACATTTTAACTGTAATGTAATGTTTTACATAGTTAAAAACTCTTTGTATGTCAACTACAGTTTGCTTTTTTCCCCCCTTCTTTGGTACCTAATCATTTACAGTGCGTGATGGCTTCTCTTCAAATTCGTGATCTTAAAAGTGAACTAGAAAAGGTAAAGAACGATTTGCAGCTCAGTCAAGCTGCCCACGCCAAACTTAAGGTACTGGCTGGCATAGCAAACTCCAATTGCAGTGATGCTGTCACTTTTCTAAACAACCTTATGATGTCTCTCATTACTCAGGACAAGACAAGGGTTGTAAATTATGATGGATCTGTCGTAAGTACAGTAACTGAAAATGTTGAAATCAATATGCGTTCTAAAAGAGAATGGAAAAATCCATAAGTTCTAGTCTGATATATTATAATTTTTCTCAACATTTTTTACAGATGTATGTCACTCGAGAAATTGTCTCTCCTGGCTGGCTAATTAATCGAAGTCAACAAAGAACTTTGATATGCAGGCGACCCAATGTCAGGGTCATCAATGGCCGTGATAAACTGCTGAAAGCAATCATTGGTCGCCAAGAGGAGAAAATAAGAGATCTGCATGCAAAGCTTTGTGGGGCTCGTCAGGTCATTGTAAGTTGCTTTGATGTTTAGCTGTTTACCATGAGGTATCAAATCAATGAGCAATAACTCTGTAATTAATTCAATTTATTTTAGGAACAAGCCAATCTCATGAACCCCAAGCTGCTGCTTGATCTTTCTGGTGATGAAAAGACTGCTGAAGGAGGTGCATCGCCCAAGGACACTGACTCTGCTGTATTTGACCTGGCTAACATTGAGAAGGTACTTATTTTTATCCCTTTCTGTAATTATGTAAAATAACATGTTTTAAACAAGCTACTTGATGATTAACGGACAGAATTCAATCTTTGCAGACTATTAGTACATTGGACAAATCTCATGAAGGGGAGCATATGGAAGGTGGCAAAATGCAATGCATTGCACTTGTTCACAATCCAGGAAACATGGAAGAAGATAAGCTCCCGACTCCAACATTGGAGGAAGTAAATGGACAGTGGAATGACAGCTTAGTTGTTGAACCAAAATATTACAGTTTGGATCCAATGCAGTCAATGGTAATAATACTCTTTCAGTTCCTGTTGTCCAGTTGGTCGTTCTATTTTTTAAAAGATCAAAGCTCACTGTGCTTTTCTTCCAGAACCGAGAAATTATATCTGATGAAGACCACATCTTTGTGGTAAACTCAGAAAATGAAGATGAGGATTCTTTGCTTGTAAGTGAGGCAAATAACAACAATTATGACACCAAGAATAGAAATTCTCTGTCTTTTCAAGGAGGAGAAGAGGAGCCATGGGAGCCAAAACATGAAATATTTTGTTCAATATCACCAGATACGCTGGATATCAAACCAGAATTTTCTGCCAAAGACTGCAACTGATATAGAAAAATAAGTTTTTGGAATCAGTCAGATCAAGTCACATTCCAGTGGAGACACATTTTGATGTTTTTGACTTACTAGTATTATTGGAAGGGAATTCCAAAGCAACAATGAAACATACATTTGTTTGTCAATACAGACAAAACTTTAAAAATATTTGTTTTAAATGTGGGTTAAGTTATTGCTTAAGACTAGCAAAACTGCTTTTGTTTTGCTTTTAACATTCCTGTAATTGTTAGTTTTGAAAGACTGTACCTTCGAATGTTCTCTTAAGAAAGTGTCTGGTCACATGAAAAGGCTGTTGGTATTCTGATTCATTACAATTTAAATAATTTTTGTTTGTTTGTAAAGTTATAGAGTGTTGTTTGTTTGTTCGTTTTCATTTATTCATAGTGACTGGAATATCATTGTTGATTTGTGTCTTGTATGACAATATTTGTCTTACTCCAGAAACTGGTCTTTTCTGATATAAAGTCCTGTTGATAACATAAGTTATAAGCTAAAGTCTTTGACTTTGGTTTTATGAAGCTGTTGAGTTGTTTATCTCTTTACGGACTCATTTTGAGTCATGTTACTTAATAAATGAGGGTTTTTGAAGTTAAAGTGATATTGTACTGGTAGGTTTTACCAAAATATTTCTTTTTATGACGTGCCTGTTAGTTACATTAGATTTTATTCTTAAACGCTCAGAAAAGTCGTAATTTAATACTTATTGCTTAAGGAAATGTATCCATTATTCTGGGGTATTTTTTGTAGTGCTCATTGTTTTGTGTGATTTGTAAGTGTGAAGGAAGTCTTTCTTTATATTTTGTACAGAAAGCAGGCTTCACTTTGGATGTCAACTAGTCCTACATTGTACCTTTGTGTTGGTACAAAATGTGGTAAATAGTATGATGAACGTCTGTACTATTTCTCTATCTCTCTAGACCTTTGTCTCTCCTAATTTTTGGTAGTATCTTGGGCAGCCAACAATGCCATACCATGAAGGCCTTTTCAGGAGATATTGTTTTGAATGTGAATTGGAAAACAATATCAGTAGTGGCTCAACATTTGTGCACCATAACTGTCAATTTTTTTCATTCTTAAGGCATGTTATACAAATATGCATCCATGTTTAGTATCATGTGTTTTCTCTACTGCACAATTGTATTTCTAATCTCTGTGATACTAAAGTTTGCCAAACAAACAAACAAAAAAAAAAAAAGAAAGAAAAAAATCAGATTCTTACTGCTCTACTTGAATATTGTCCAGCACACGATGTTGATTGTTCTAGAGCTGTCATATCAAGATTTTCATTTACTTCTATCTGCTACATTTGCATTTTTTTTTCTTTTCCTAATCTTTAAATTGCATTTCTAGCAAGATAGTTTATGCATAAGTACTTTAAATGTTTGCCTTTTACAATAGGAAATATTGTCTGTGAAATAGGTTGACTGACTAAAGAATTGGAAAGTTAAGTGTTATAGAAAAGAGTACAGTAGTTTGAAAAAAGGAAGACGAATGAACACTTTCACTGTATGCTCTTTTTAATGAGAGTAAATGAACCAAGAAATTGTTGTCTGAACTGGTTTTGTGATAAATGTTTAAGCGTTAATCACTAGGAAGAAGCTTGTGATGATTGTCTCTTTACCTCTAGTCTTGGTGTGTTCCTCTTCCTGTTACTTTGCTAATTAGTTAATGATCTCTCTTAAGCATCACTGTTTAACAGAACATTTATTTTTGAACCAACATTTCTTGATGAAGCATTGTCCAAGCTTCTATTTAATACTCTACATAAATTAATGACTGCTTTCATCTTTCAGAAATTTAATGCAGATTTTGTACAAAGTGTAATTGGTGACCATACATATTCAGTGTGTCATCTTAAAAAATTTCTTTAATGTGATTGGGCTTTAAAATTTTACATTTGGGTATTGTATGGACCAGTTTATGGTAGATAAGATGCCTTCAATATTTTGAATTCTGAAATTTATTTATTTTTATTATATTTTCTGTTTTTGAAGGAATTGCTAGGAGTGTGTCAGTCTTTATTATTAGCTCCTTCAAAAGCTTTAGTTGTATCAGATCCAAAAGTATATGTAAATTACCGTTTCGTTGACAACTGTATTACAGTACCTCATTCTTCATTAATTAGATAATATAAACCTTGACATGTTTCTTTTCTTTAATGTTTACTTTCTCAGACTTATATTATGATATGAAGGCTGGCCAAGCTGACATCCTCTAAGTTGAGGTCATTACATTTAATTTTGTATTACGTAGACTAAACATTTGAACAATGTTCTTTATAGATGTACAAATTATGGGTTCCTATGCTAGTCATGTGGAATGTGTATGAACGTTATGTCTCCTGCTCATAGGGGACCTGGAGGTAGCAGTATCTCTAAATCTCATCATCACATTATTTCTATGGGATCACTAGACATACAGGGATGCTAAACTAAAATAAACCTTTAACAAAAATCAAAAACAAACAAAAAAATATTTTAGAAAATTGTCTTTGCTCAAAGTTTCAAATTACAACTTATTATTGTTTTGGGAACAGTTTTTAACATGTTCTGTCTTTGTTACTAATCCTTATAAGGTTAAAGTCTGTGCCAAAAATTTTCCATGTATACAGTATTGTTGATATAGTCTGCAAAGTTCTCTCTCTGCTGATATTTATGAGACCATTAAGAGCTATGCCCCAAAGTTATTTAATTTGTATTTGGGTTATTTTCGTGTATTTTAGTTTTTAAACATTCCTGTCCAAGGAAGAAATTTCATTTTCTTTTTACCACAGACTATTATTCTTCTTTTACCTTGCAATGTTTTGTTTTTCTTTAAAAAAACTGTTGTAGAAGTGTTACTCCTTGGAATAAAAAAGTTAAATGACAATAATATCCTCTAAAATCAACTATTGTACAATAAGCGTTTTCCTCATTTTTCTTTTTAGGTTCAATGTTTTCTGCAGTTCCTTTTGACGCCTCACGTCCAACTTAATATTCCAAATATTTTCTCAGTAAGCATGTCAAAGCAATTTTGTCTGTACAATTGTTCGTGTAATTTTTTTTACAGTTACGTATGTTTTGTTGCTTATTAAGTAACTTTTTGACTGTCACTTTCAATACACATTGAATGTCCATTTCAATACCTTCCTGCCAGGAAGGCTTGGCCGAGCGACCGCTGCTGAAAACGGCTTGGCCAGTGGGAGGCTGCTAAGAAAGACTCAGTTTCATTTTGGCCGCGCGACGCACGTGCTTGTTTGAAGCGTCAAGAAATGTCAGAGTCTCAAGATACCATTTTGCAAATGACGCAGAAATGCTTCACCTATCGTTTGCCGTTTTCAGAAAATTTATATCTTAGACTTCCGATTTTTCCTGGCGCTTCAAACGTGCATCTACGTCGCGCGGCCAAAATTCCACTGAGTCTTTCTTAGCAGCCTCCTGCCGGACAAGCCCTTTTTAGCAGCAGTCGCTTTGGCCAAGCCTTTCTGGCAGGAAGGTATCGATTTGCCATTGTGTCAGTTGTTCGCAAGGGGTGAAGTATTCTATACTTAAAATCAGACTTAATGGTTGTGTTGTTAATTGTATACTTTTATTACATTTGTCTGGGTCTTTGGTTGGTATAGAGGCTAGATAGATTCCTAACAAAACTGTTCTTCCTGTTCAATTTATCTTTGTACAACATTTTTTCTCGGAAACCATAGTTATTTGGCATAGATTCTAGAAAAGTTCTTTTATAAGTTGTAATTTCAAAGTATTACTCTCCAAAACTTTGTAAACATCAAATTTATTACATCACACTTTGTTGTTGATTTTATTGTCTGTAGCAAACTGTACAAGCTTCGGAACTTCATCACAAAATGTACACAATCATTACTGAGTGAAACATAAATATTGCTTTATATTCCCTATGTGTTCTTCCTAAATCATTTTAAAAGTTTTGTGTGTGTAAGTAAATGAATTTTGAACTGATAGTTTATTTTGTGATGTGTTTGTGTTAAGTGATTATCTATCTCAATTATATTCCGTGTTGCCATTACTAATAGTTGTAAGATTTATGTAGCTTACACAAAATACTTTCCTGTGTTAGTGAGGGTTGCATAGTTTGTTTAGTCCTCCATATCAAGGTCACATTTGTGTATCCTATAATCAACAAGGCAAAAATATCCTTAGACATTCTTGAAATGTGTTTTCTTATTTGTAGTTTTATGTGCATCTTCTAGTATGTTAGTCTCCTATCAGTTGATGATTTGCAAGTTGAAGTTATTTCAACCTATTCTTAAAATAATCCATTCTTGATCACTAGCTTTTTAACACTAACACAGTGGTATTTCCTATTTACTTAACCGTCCTTGCAGTAGTTCTCTCTATACAGTTGTGAGGAAAGCATCCATTGGTGCAATGTAGCTTAATCTCTACTTCCAATGCTTTACTTTAAGTTTTCTGACTTATTGTTATCTTAAACCTCTAGTGAACATTAAATTGTGATAATGTTTGTGTGTTTAGACAAATAAATATATTAGTAAGCCAAACTTTGCATTTACTTTTAAGGAGGTTTATAAAGCCCTGTCGTTTTCGCTTGCATAAAGGCGACGTATTCTCTCACATCTGCCTGGTCGCGCTTGGTTAGGGTGGTCCATAAAAACGCTTTTGTTAAAATATTGAAATGCTTGTTGACTATATGGTGTAGTTTGGTGTGTAATGACCTCCAATTTTTTTTCCGAATTTTTGAACACGATTTGATCCTGCCGAAATGGCCTCAAAGTTAACATGGGATCCTTATGGGGAATTCTACTAAAAGCAATAAAATTAAACTGGAGCTCAAAATATTTGACAGACGTTAGTATACTAGGCAAAATCGTGATCTACTCTAAAAACCGATTTAGAAAATGTGCCACATGCAGTCGCAACACGTCGCGTTTCGATAGAACACTCACTCAAACTTCGCTTAAAACGCCAATATATGCCCATATTATTATGGAAACGCGACGTGTTGCGACTGCATGTGGCACATTTTCTGAATCGGATTTTAGAGTAGATCACGATTTTGCGTGGTACACTAACGCCTGTAAAATATTTTGAGCCCCAGGACAAATTTATTGCTTTTAAAAGAATTACCCATAAGGATCCCATGTTAACTTCGAAGCCATTTCGGCAGGGTCAAATTGTGTTCAAAAATTCGGAAAAAAAATTGGAGGTCATTACACACCAAACTACACCATATAGTCAACAAGCATTTCAATATTTTAACAAAAGCGTTTTTATGGACCACCCTAGCGCTTGGTCCTTCCCCCTCCCCACTACTATTCATGGTCCAGTGCAGACAGACAGCCCCCCCTTCTCCCTTCAATTCTTCCCCCGTTCTTCCGCATACGAGCCGAGCGGCACATTCAATTTGGAATGAGACAGACTCCACCGATGCTAACGCCCGAACTCACGCCACCACCATAGGCCGGGAAGAAGTCATCTTACCGCGGCCCATAGAAAACGGCATTATTTTGAGCGGTCAGAGGTCATGTGAAAAAGACCCCATCCCCTCGCCCTCCCTCAATGAAGGAAGATGGGGGAATTTCCTGTCTATTTTTCCGCTCATATACGACCCTCAACCCAATTTGAGGGTGAGAAGAAAGACGGGTACCTTCCTTTGGAGGTCTGAATCGGCAGCAGGCCTGCTTACCCGGGTAGACCAGGGCATTCCCCACAGCTGGACATCTAAAGTCTCTGAGAACACTTACACGTTTTTGGTGGCGACATCATATTGACACTCAAACCAGAAATTTGACTTGAAACATGTTGCCCAAATTTTGACTTTGTTCCTTTAAACGTCATAGTGACGCGGTACGCAGTGACTTGTTCGGCCGTCTCCGGTGATCGTATTTACTGCTCAGGACAGCGGCGCCGTGCTCGGTGCGCGGGGCGAGGCGGATCGACACGCGCGCAGCTCAGCGCAGCTCAGCGCAGCTCAGCGCAGCTCCATACCATCGATTTCCTGAAAATGAAACAGAAGTCGTGGCCTGCTGTCCTGTCCTCCGCGGATCGAGTGTGGAGCTGAGCGTCGCAGGGTAATTGAAGGTGTTGTGTTATCATGGCCCGTCTCCCGACGCCTCACGCCACGCCGCCCAGCTGGGTTCCAGCGGCAGGCGCCGTGAGGTACAGGCGCCGCGTGACGTCACCGTACCGAGACTCATGGGCTGGGCGGTACCCACTGCTCTGCGTGTGGACCCCCCCCCCCCC